ACAGTGTCTTAAAAAACTAAACATGCAATGCAACTACTGTACAACCTAGCAATTGCACTCTTGGGCATTTATCCCAGGAAAATGAAAACATATGTTCACATAAAAAATATACATGAATATTTACAGCTTTATATATAATTGTCAAAAACTGGAAAAAACCCAGATGTCCTTCAACAGGTTAAACCATAGTACCTTCATACCCTGGAATACTTCTCAGCAACAGAAAGGAATAAACTATTGATACATGCAACAACCTGAAAAAAGCTCCAGAGAATTACACTGAGTGAAAAAACTAATCCTAAAAGGTTACATATTGCTTGATTCCATTTAGGTAACACTCTTGAAATGACATAATTATTGGATATCAATGGTTCCCAGGGGTCATGAATTAGGGGTGGAAGGTTGGGTAGTGGAGATGTGTGAAGAGGTAGGTTGAGGTGAGTGTGGCTATAAAAGGGCAACATGAGGACCCCTTGTTGTGACAGAACTGTTGTACATCCTGACTGTATCGAAGTTAATACCCTGGTTATGAGACTGCAGTACAGTTTTGCCAGATATTACCACCGGGGGAAACTGGGGAAAGAAGGGGAAGCTGGGGAAGAAGTTGGCATCTCTTGGTATCATTTCTTGCAACTACATGTGAATCTACAGTGATCTCAAAATAAGAATCTTATTTTTAAAATCATAAAAGTAAAAATAAATCAATCTGGGACTGAAACACAGAGATTAACCCATAAAGAAATTTTATTGAGCAATTTTAAGAAATGTTGGCTTCACACATAAATTATACATGACACATTCGTGTTTATATAAATACACTTCCAAAGTGTATTTCCTCCAATACCTGTTTTTCCACTGGGAAACCTCACCTTAGACTCTATGACCCTCTGCAGCCAGCCAACAAAAGTATTTTGGACTTAAAAAAAAAAGGAAAAAAAGAGAGGTATTTTGCAGATTTTTCAAGATTCATAGTAATTTAAAAAAAAAACAAAACTGTTTTTCCTAATGAACTATCTTGGATTACAATATTAACTGAACAGTCTCTCCAAAAATTACATTGCTTCCTATTTCTTTTGTCATTAAGTTTTAAAACTACAATAGCTTAAAATCACAACACACATACTCACAGCCACATACAAATATCACTTTTCTAGGATGCTATGCTAACATTTCTATGACTATATTCTCTTTCTTTTTCCTCTACTTTAACTCAACACAAAATCTGGCCTAGCCACAGTGGCCCAAAATGACCTGGAAAATTACGTTTATTTTTTCTGGCAATGACAATCTGTGCTTGGAAACATAAAACTGTTATTCTGAATAAATTTCAAAGTTCCAAAGTACTAAAATTACTTTACTGAAACAGGACAAAATGAGCCGTTACTGCTAGAGAAAGGGATTGTTATTCCAGAAAGAACAGTGTGCTCTCTAGCCCTTGCACCACCACTTCTGTTTTATAAAATAAACAACTCTGGTCTCTTTATTTTACTTTGTGTTCTGTGGTAATAAATATCTTTTGAAGCTAAAATTCTATTACAAGTGTTCATTTTGTCACCGTTTTAAAAAACAAGAGATCAGTCTTACTTTTGCAAAAGAACTAATTTTTGCATTAGTTTGCTGGTTATTTTGATTTCTGCATATGTCCCCTAACAAAAACAGCAAAAGGAAAGTTGTTTGTTGCTTCTTTTTCTAAAAAAAAAAAAAAAAAAAAGCCCACCTGTCTCTAACATCAGTTGACATTCAGAAGGGGAATAAATAAAGAATTATTACTTTGCTGATCTATAAGTATTGTTTTAGTTTTAAATTGTGGCAATTCTAAACTTAGACCAAGTTCATTCTGCTTTCAGAATGCTGGATGAAAATTCTAGCAAAGCTGTTAGATATTGGAAGTCAGAGACAGGTGGGGGTTAGCTCAGTCTAGAGAGAGTAGATTTAGAGATATGGTCTAAGAACATTCACAAGTGAACTGTAGTCTAGCAGCAGACAAAGTGGACAAGTGTGGTCCTGCTGTCCAGCCCATGGGCCTGTTTTACATTTTCTGTCACTTAGGGATATGGATGTCTGAGGTGTGTTTTATGCTTAGTCAGAAACTGTGATAAAAAGCAAAAAGAGTTAGGAATGGGAGTCAAAAAGATTATTTTATTCTTTCTTCTCTAAGATTTCCTAAGACGATGAGATCAGGGGGAGTTAATTTAAAATCGTAGGCTTCTAATCAAGAAATGGATTCTCTAACTGTGCTGGTTGTCATCAGCATTTCTTCTCCACACCTGTCCCCACCACCCTTACTTTTTCTTGCAACTCTTTCAATTACTACCTATTTTGCTATTAATAGTACAGTATAGTACATTTTCACATTATCATGTATCTTTCATGGGATTTATTGACCATCTATTTCCAGATCATATATCAAAAGTACAGAAAGAAATAAATAGGAAAAGTTCACCTTTTCTTTCTTGATCTCTACACTAACCTTCCTTGCCTACACACAGGAAAAAAAAAAAAAAAAAAGGAAACACAGCAGGTGCTTCCCTAGAAAGAAGAGTCAGCATAAAAACTAACACAAAAGGTTAACAGAAGAACAATTAAAAAAAAAGAGAAACCTTTGAAAAACCTGTCACCACATACTGATCCACAAACCTCACATACTTGTTTATCTAAGAAATGAGCACAATTTCAAAGCCATGATGGAAAAAATTGTTTTCTTCATATTAATAATGAAATGGTTCTAGAATTGTTGAATCACTAAAATGTACACCTATAACTAATATAACACTTGTATGTTATCTGTACTGGAATTAAAATAAAAACTTAATATAAGAAACTGAAAAAAATAATGAAATGGTTCTAATCTGAAGTATTCTTCTTACCATTATAAGCTATTTATCTATTTAACATGGTTCTTTACGAAATGATGTATGCAAGCTGACTAAATAGATATACTGCCTGATCAGTGAGCAATTTAACAAGTTGCATTATGGACAATCTAGATGAATCAAAGGTAAGTAAGAAGTTGTGGAAAACAAATAACTGACTTATTCTTAGACTGTGCTTAATAGGCTGTGGCTACATGTAGACATTTTCCTTGTGTTATAATCAAGTACCCAGAACAGTGCCTAGCACATAATAGGCACTTGATAAATATTTGTGGTATAAATGTATCTAACTTAGGTCTGAAAAAGTGCAGAGCTGCACTTTACATTCTAAACATCCATCAGGACAAGGGCTACAAGCAGCATAATTGTCCAGGGCCTTAGGCAGCTGAGTTTCTCCTGATGTCCCTTCTCTGCACTATATGGACAGCTGCCTGCCACTCCTGCCTTAAGAATGTATCTGTAAATTTATGAAAGGATTGGTTTTACCATTTTTAAACAATTTACTTATATAGTACCTTAAACATGAGAAGAAAGCATTCTGCAACTTTGAGAACAGTATCATCAAAATAAATACATACTCTTTCACATATTCAAAACATTTACATTGTTAAACATTCTCTAACTTGGCCAGCTTTTTCTCACCAGTAAGCTTCTGTTACCTTGGCCTAGGATGCCCTATTCCCATCTGTCTATAGAAATACACAGCCTTCAAGGGCTTTTGCCCACATAAAGCTCCCCCGTTGACCATCCCAATATCAGGGATTCCTCCCCCACCCCACCTCTCCACTCTCAAAGAAGATACTACCTTATATAACATTTAAATCATTAACTGTCTTCTAGAGTTATTTTTTCATGTCATTATATATCCTCTTCCTTACGATCTGCAGTATGGGTATTGTCTCTTTGACTCTTTTGTTCTGTTTCTCTTAATCTCTACCATACCAGCCTAGTACATGGAAAGAACTCAGTTGAGCGAGAGAGGAAGAATATACGATGTCTTCAAACACATATAAGCACCATTTCTCAGCTAAATATAGCATAGCTAAACTGTGCTTAATATCTCTTACATGTAACTTAAAAGGTGAAGCAAATTAAATGCAATGGTTTAAAAGGTCTTTTTCTGGGTCTTTTCCCTTCCAGTTCCTGCTAGATTGCATTTTACATAAATCTGAAGGACATGCAGTAACATTAAGCATCAAGTTAAATCAATGGAATGATTAATGCTAACAGGCAGCCCAAAGCAATGTGCACAAAGGATAAAAGCATATCTGAGGGATGACTGCAATTTTTAAGTAAAAAGTAACGGACTGGTGGCTAATTAAGAGTTGACTGTAGATTTACCGAAAAATCTCAATGATTAATGATAGCTAATGTTTGAGGTTTCAATACACAATTTGTCAGTTTCAAAAGAGATATTTAAAAAATTAAACTGTTAACAATGTATGCATTGCCAAACTAAATACAGGATAAATGCTTCTGCCTGAGGACAGCTATTAACTCACAGGGAGGAGAGCAGGATAGAAACTGTAAAGAAAAATTGATTGTTAACCAGATTCAATGAGTTGATATATATGAAAGGTTTTAAAACACTGCTTGGTACATGATAAGTGGCAAAAATTAAGGTGAAACTGAAATAGACCTTTATATGGAGAGAGACACCAACATTTAGCATCACATGAACTTACAAACTAATTGTAGTTTCTATAATAGCTTACTATTAATTATCCATTTTGCAAATACAGAATAAGATTCACTTAAAATTTTAAACAGGCCCATGTATTTCCATTTTTTACAACAAGTTTTTTTCTCCTGAAAAGCTGCTATAAAAATATTTAAATACAGTATTTGGACACTCCTGAGTCCCTCTTTTCACAAAAGCTCCACAAATACCTGGTCAAATACTGTGCTGGAATTAAAGATGTCTTCCTTCACAGGTTAAAAATTCTTTGCACTGAATTGAATTCTACAATCTGGCCATTATGGTTATTTCCTTTACCACTCCATCAATTCATTGCAGATGCCCTGACCAAAATAAATGTAAAACCTCTGAAATCATTCCCCCAGGTTTTATATCTACCTTAAAATGCTCTTAATGTTATGCTGTAATAACACAATACAATATCATACCTTTCGGATTTCTTCAGGTAATGCATGCATGGGGATGTGACGATCCATAATTTCCCAAAATATGAGTTCTGAAGTAAAATAATATAAAAACATTGATAGCAATAGTCAGAATTGAAATAATGTGAATAAAATTCAAATTAAAAGATATAAATTCTTGGGAGTACTCAGAGATGAATGGTGATAACTTTTAACGGTTATTTCATCAACTCAATGTTAAAAGGTACAACCAACTGGGCTTTTCTCAGTTAGCTATTAGGCCAATAGGAAAGATAACAGACAACTGAGTTAGAAACATTTTCTTTCTTTAGAACTTTATAGTCTAATCGTAATTTCTGTGGTAGTTTATTACTAATGATTTGTTTTGCAAATACAGAACAAGTGTCACTTAAAATTTTAAACAGGCCTATTTCTGTTTTCTTAAAAAAAGGGGTGGGGTCCAAAAACTTAAAAGTATCTAAATATAGTATTTTAGTTCAGCAGATAAGAAAAACAATTATGACATGAATGCTGGTTTAGAGGATGAAGTATGAAAAAAATAGTTATCAAATTAAGTATCATATGCAGGCACTTCTCAAAGCATGAGAAGTGTTCATTTACTTAAGATGAACATTTACATAATTTTACGCAGATATTTTACTTTAATAGATTTTCATTTTCTAATAAAACAACTCAACAAAATTCTATCACTACTTTCATGTAACTACACAAGATGAATGGAGACAGTACTTTCGGGTTTTTTTAATCTTTCCCAAATATGGAGAAAATACACAGTCCAGTTTCATGAGAAATGTTTATATATACATCTAAGGAGTGAGGAGTAGAAAGAGGGAAGCAGAGTAAGATGATACAGGCACAATTCCATAGCAAGGAAGAAAATCTGAGGGCCAGGAGTAGTAGACAAAGAACAACCTAGGAGTTCAGGAAGGAAAAATGTCTTATCTTTCCGGTGGGAATGGGAAACTAGGGAAGGCTTCCAGAGGCTGTTTGCTTTTGATCAGAGCAGGTTTTTGACACAAAGATAGACTGGAGGCATAGTACTCTATCAGAGACAGCAACCTCAGCCACAACAAGGTGTTAGGGAAATTGTAGTCAACAAAAATTTCTGTAGTGGCAGTATTTTTTTTTTAATAGTGCAACCATTGGTGGAAAGAAAATTCCACAAAGCATGCTGTTTTAATGAGATGCTGTTTAAAACAAATAATGAGCTGTCTTCCCATATAAAGATAATGTATGTGTGTGGGGGGGTGGGTACAGTTAACTGACATAGCTAACATAGGCCCACATAGCCAAGTACATGATAATCTGATGTTTGGCGAACTGTCTCTGATGTGGCAAGAGCTCATAATTCACAGGAGGCTCATTATTGTCTCTTCTGTCATTTTACAATGGACTCACCATCAGTAAAATAAGATGGCATCATCTTAATTAAACTCTGGTGGGAGTAGAATCTTTCCTAAAATTACCAACTAAATCTCCTTTTTAAATTCCACCCATAGGGGCGCCTGGGTGGTTCAGTCGTTAAGTGTCTGCCTTCGGCTCGGGTCATGATCCCGGGGTCCCGGGATTGAGCCCCGCATCGGGCTCCCTGCTCCGCGGGAGGCCTGCTTCTTCCTCTCCCACTCCCCCTGCTTGTGCTCCCCCTCCCGCTGTGTCTCTCTCTGTCAAATAAATAAATAAAATCTTTAAAAAAAAAAAATTCCACCCATAAAATTATTTGAGAGCATGGATCCAGTGACAGTATAAACAAGGGACCAGTGGAACAGTTTTTGTTTATTACCTTATCTCTAAAGCTATTCCAACTTTGTGTCATTATTATAGCAAGTAGGGAAATTTGGCAGGTTCTAATTATTGAAGAAAAAATTAAAAATTAAATACTGCCAACCCAGAAAATCTCTCCACAATGCAGAAAGAAAACAGTCTCATTACTGAATAATCATTTAACTAGACTGTGATGCGCATCAGAGCCAATCTGCTAATGAGACTACAAAGACAGAAATCCCATTTTTATACAGCTATGTAGATACAATCCATTACATACATCTTCTCGAGAGAAATGGTAACTCATCCTCAATACAGTCTGTTACACAATTTCATAGTTCGTTTTCAGTTCACCTAGTAATTGAAGTAGCTAATAGCTGCGCTAGTTAATTGCGACTGTGCTAAGGAATACAAATCTCTCTGACAGAGCCCTTGGTACTAAAGTAAGCTGCCTAGGCGAAATTCCCAAGGTGACAAGGAGATAGCTTCCTTGATGTTTACATTTTAAAGAAATGGCTCTCACGTCCTCAAGAAAAACATTCTGGGTCTTTAAAAAGATTTGCATAGGTATTAAAGGAACAGAGGAAACATTCACAAATACCAAGTTTCTCAAGAAACGGAGGGGGGAAGGTCTCTTCCCCTTTGGCAACACGGCAATTTTTTAAATTGTTACTTCACTCTTATATTATTTTGCATGTTTTATCAAATCAGTTTCTTTTATTCTTTCACATTACATACATGTAGACTGCCCTTGAACAAGAGGTGCGGTGAAACTGGCAGCAGCTACTAAGTATTTGTGAACCTGCTCTCTTAACAGGATCACGAAGATGTCGAAAACACAGAAACGTCCTGGATTGTTCACTTCCGATTCCCTTCCTCACAGCAGTGTCACGCTGGGCCATTAACTCACGTTCGGCTGTCAGACCCTTCCGTAAACACACCCTTCCCGTGGTGTGAATCACCCGCAAATGAGCGGGTCAGGGTCAGGTGAAACGGAGTTCATGTTCTAAGACATTCCTGAAGCAGCGGCATTTTCCAAATAGAAACCAACTGCAAGGCCAGCCAAAACTGCTGGAAGGGTTTTGAAACCCGTCCCTTTCTAACCCCGTTCCCTCGGGACCTGCAGTGGCGGGAGGAGGGAGGAGGGTGCGGGACCGAGGCCGAGCTGCGCTCTCAGGGAGAGTAGAGGACGGCGGGGCCGAGCGGGCTCGCGGAAGCTGTGCAGGGGCCGCAAAGGGGGGCGAAGGAGACGCTCGGGGCCATATTCCCTCGCCGCGGCTCAGCTTTCCGGCCCTCTCCCCCCGTCCCCCCATGCCAGCACGCCTCCGCTCCGGAACTTCGTCCCGGGGGACTGGGTAGGCCGGGGGACTCAAGGAAGTCATTTCATTGTCTCACCTAGACCTCCACTCCGAGTGCGAACGGCTTTCCCGGTCTCCCGGGAAACCATGCTACACGTCGGCCCGACGTCAGAGCGCGGTGACGTCACGGCCCACGCCGTTCGCCAGCGCAGAGCGGGGCTCCCTTGCCACGCTCCAGGCCCCACGCGCCGGGCGGAAGCGGGAAATCTCACGATGGGGGTTTGGAGGGGAGGGCTTGTATTATAGAGTGCTGTAAGAGGGAAGGAAGGGGCGCGAAGGGCGGGGTGCGAAGGGCAGGGCGGGGGAGGGCGGGCTGGAGTCGTGGTAGAGGCTGCTGAGGAGGAGAGAAATGTCCCTAGCCTCAAGGTGAGTTGGAGAGAGACTCGGCCTGCAGTGGAGGCCCAAGTCACTATACCTCTGATCCCTGGCTCTACAGCCCGCATGGCGGACACAGCAGCGGGCAATTATAGTTATTGAGCGCTAAGAGGAGAGAAACCTGTAAAGGGTGTAAAGGGAAGCTCCGGTCATTGGCATTGCAGCGAGGGCAATTGGGAGGGTATTAGAATTTTCATCCTAGCCCCAAAGTAGTCGGGATGTAAGGGCTTGTTCATTGGGTATATTGAGAACCCCTAGTACACAAGTTATTTATAGGAGGCTGCTCACCTTTACACGTGACTTACTTTCCTACCTTCATAAAGCAAGTATTTATTAATGACCTACTAAGAGACAACCGCTGCCTACCGGAATGGGGTGATTCTGTGACTAACCCAGGTAGGGACAGCTGTTGGTGTGATTTTCAAGTGTCTCAATAGCCCCGATCTCTCCTCTTTTTTTTTTTTTTTTTAAGATTTTATTTCTGTATTTGATAGAGAGGGAGAAGCTGGCTTCCCGCGGGGCAGGGAGCCCGGATGTGGGTCTTGACCCCAGGACCCCGGGATCATGACCTGAGCCGAAGGCAGAAGCCTAACGACTATGCCACTCAGGCGCCCCCCGCCCCCCATCTCTCCTTTTTGAGGATTATATGAGGTCAAAAATGCAGCTCTTACAAGAAAAATCATCTGTGGCTCACTAGCAGAGAAAGAGACATTACTATCGAATGAAGTAAGGTTGAATAAATACAGAGAAAACTAAAACCTATAGATTTAGAGGTGATTAAACGATGCAGAGCAGTGCTCAAACAGTAGTCAAACTACTGATGAGAGCTGTTTATTAATAAAAATGATAGCATGAAGTACTGAACACTGCTAAAAACCTTGTTCCCCAAAGTCTTGGAGATAGATCTACCCTGTACACTTAACCTGGCTGATATTTTTGCCCCAACGCCCACCACCGACTTTGAGTTTCCACCCCCTCAAAGAGCATTTTTCTTCATCTGGGAAAGATAAGCAATAAGAGGACTGAAGAAAGGATTAAGGGGAGTAGAGGACAGCCAACGAAGTGGTCAGGTACAGCATGCTATGAGAAGTGCAAAGAACTTTCAACAGCTATTCATGTTCAGCATGTTTCGTTGAGGGACAATGAAGGTAGGACTCTTCTCAATGGGGTTTAGACATGGGGCACAAAAAAGGCCGTTCATCTAGGTCCACTAAGTGCTTTATCTGGAACAGAAATTGCACACCTAAAGCAAGATGACTCTTCTGAGGCTAGTTTAGCTAGTAGTATGATTATCAGCAATACTATTTATTGAGTAGTTCGTGTATATGATAAGAAAAGGAAACGCTTTAAGGATGGGAGAAGATACAGCTGAAAGGCTGTAATTCATTCTGTGATTTAATTTCATCTGTCCTTAGTCATATCTATATGGCCTCAAGACCATTTTTCCTTCCACCATAAATGTCCACACCGTAAATGTCCCTTAGACCTGCGCTGTCCAATAAGATAGCCACATGTGACTATTGAGTTAAAATAAAATAAAAAAATTCCATTCCTTTATTGCACTAGCCACAGTACAAGTGCTCAGTAGTCACATGTTGTCATGGCATCAGACAGCCCATATCTAGAACATTGTCATCATCAGAGAAAGTTCTACTGAACAAGGAGTGGTAGGCCCAGTAAGAATTTCAAGGACAAAGAGAGTTAATAAATTATGAAGAATAGCTTTGGTAAAAAGTAGCAGTTAAAGGTGTTATTCCTAAAGACCTCAGCACAGATGAAGAGTTGTGACCGGGTGTTACTTTTTTTTTAAAAGATTTTATTTATTTGACAGAGAGAGTGCCAGAGCGTATAAGCAAGGGGAGCAGCAGAGGGAGAAGGAGAAGCAGGCTCTGCTGAGCAGGGAGCCTGATATGGGGCTCAATCCCAGGATCCTGGGATCATGACTTGAGCCAAAGGCAGACGCTTAACCGACTGAGCCACCCAGGCGCCCAGGGTGTTACTTTTCCAAAAAGTAATCCAATAAGCCTCTCCCCAGTGTCTTGTGTGTTTATTCTTGACTCTCTGTTGATTTCAATCTCTCCCTCTCTCCCTCCCTCTGAGTTTCTTTCCTTGTCTTTTTTGTTTTTCCACTACTTTTCTTTCCCCATTATTGGCCATACTAGAACTGAAGTAGAATTTAAAATGTTCCTATCATTGGACATACTGAATAAAGTTTTGTGTTATTCTGTTCTTAAATTTTAAATCAGCTAAGTTTCACTTTTTACTGTGACTTTATAAAGTAATCCAGTGATAATTAAGTTCCTTTTCACCTCCTGTGAGACCCTTTATTTGTTTTCCCCTGTAGGTCAATGACCCCTGAAAGAAAAAAATATAGTCCCTAGTTTTGGGAGAAGAGTCTCTGTAAAGTGACTAAATGAGGGCTTTCCACAATGTCTGCAGAACTTTGTGTTGTAGTAGTAATATTTATGAGAACACAGTGTCTGTGCTTTTGTTTCTATTACGAATTTACCTAAGATATTGATCCAGCAGGGCACTGTCATTCATCCCATTCATTTGGTAAGTAATATTATTTCCCCCTCTTCACCGCCTCCCATGAAAAGCATGTGGAAGAATAGGTACTTTGTCGGCAAGTCTGATAAAAATATCAGGGAGTCTCCCCAAGATTGCTAATTTCAAAGAGAGTTCAGAACTGTACCAAAGGAGCATGGCAAAATTATAGTTAGCCCAACTTTATTTTTATCCTGTGAACCAGAACACAGTACCATATATTCCTGCAAAAGTTTGAATAAAATGGTTGCAGACAGGCCTCCCTGGTTGGAAGCAACCATGGCTCTCACTGCTATTTCTGGGTTCTATCCAATGCAATTGCAGAATTTTTTAAAAGCTAACATTTATTGGGCTCTTTCTGTTTGCCAGGCACTTCATACACAATGTCTCATTTATTGAGAACCCTTCCAAACATAACTCAGTCAGATCCTACTTATTGTTTACTTTTACCCAAATGGTGGAAGTCGCCAAGGGCATGGCCCAACACATGAGCACTGAAGTGTTCTTGGACTGAAAAGTATAAGCAGAAGCACCTGGCCCTCATGTATTGTGTTAGTTGACTCTGCCGGCCAGTCAGTACCCAGGAGGCATCAGCCTACTGTGGATTAGTAACATATGTAAATACTCAAAAATACTGAATTCTGGAAACTTAACTTTGTCTTAGATTTACTTTTTTTCATAACATTTCTGATACAGCTTCCAGTTTTCAAAAAAGAGGTCAGCTGCAAGTGACTACTTGCTTTGTTGCACTTACCCCAACACACTTTATTCTCACCAAGATGTAGATTAGATTTTTTTCCTAATACTGTTTTGTTTTTTTAACTGCTAATCAACATTTAAAATTGTAGACTCCTTTGTAAAGCTGCTTTGTATATTTTGAATTCCAAATAACTGTCTAGAGGTAGCTTTGGCCACAAAATACTATTTGTGGGTTTTTCCTCTGTATATTTTTGAATCCATCCTATGTGCAGTATAAACTTGAGTACCTAATAAAATGAAGGTCACAATGTTTAAATAGCTTCTCTCTCTAGGAGTTCAAATGGGTTGTGATCTGTGCAGTAATAAATTCTATACTGAATTCTTTTTAGCCCTGAGAATATAATTATTGAACAAAGTTTCCAGTGAGACATCAAGCCTTTAAGTGATAAATGTCTATTCTCAAATACTAAAAGTAAGTCAGGCAACCTTTAGTGATTGTAAGTATATTCTCTTGTGGCCATTCACTACTGATAAGAGCTTTACTCAAAAATGTACTATGTGCCAAATATAGTTCAATATTTGTTACATGAGTATATTTATTCTTATTGAGATATAATTGACATATCACATTATGTTAGTTCCAGGTACACAACATAATGAGTCAATATTTGTATATATCTTGAAATAATCACAATAAGTCTAGTTAACATCCATTACCAGAGATAATTATAAACTTTTTCTTGTGATGAGAGCTTTTAAGACCTTCTTAGCAACTTTTCAAATATACTATACAGTATTATTAACTATAGTCAATATGCTGTACATTACATCCCTAGGATACATTCACTTCCATGAACATATTTAAAAACAAAAAGAATAAGGCGCCTGGGTGGCTCAGTTGGTTAAGCAACTGCCTTCGGCTCAGGTCATGATCCTGGAGTCCCTGGATCGAGTCCCACATCAGGCTCCTTGCTCAGC